CTGACTACAGGAAGCCCGAGGCAGAGTTGCTCTGCCCCAGGCTTCCTGGAATCAGCGCTGATCAGTTTCAGCAGCAGCTGACTTGGGGAAACTTGGGGTTCTTAAGTTGAATCTGTATGTAAGTCAGAACTGGCGGTCAGTTTCAGCAGCGGCTGAATCTGGACGCCAGTTCCGACTTACATACAGATTCAACTTAAGAACAAATCTACAGTCCCTATCTTGTACGTAACCCGGGGACTGCCTGTATAGTCAATAGAAACCCAGCTAAATCTGATTGCAAGGTTGTAAGGTTACACCACACAAAGCTCTAACTCAGATGTAAGTCAGAACTGGCGGTCAGTTTCAGCAGCGGCTGAATCTGGACGCCAGTTCCGACTTACATACAGATTCAACTTAAGAACAAATCTACAGTCCCTATCTTGTACGTAACCCGGGGACTGCCTGTATAGTCAATAGAAACCCAGCTAAATCTGATTGCAAGGTTGTAAGGTTACACCACACAAAGCTCTAACTCAGGGGTTCCCAACCTTTTTCAGTCCCTGTGCCGTCTTGGCTTTAAGTAAACCTTCCTGTACTCCCTATTCAATAGGAAAGGAAATAAATTCTAGACTCTAGAATCCACAACTTTTTTCCACTAACACTACTACTTCTGGAATATTTCAATTAGGATAAGCTAGTTATTTACCAAATATTCCCCGTACCTCCTTGACAAGCTTCTCATACCCCCTGGGGGTACACATACCCCAGGTTGGGAACCCCTGCTCTAACTCCAGCCAAACAAGGTAAGAAGGAACTGCAGGGTGTCAGGGTAGTGCCACCTCAGATAGCCAGGAGGGGGGCCACAGACATATATACCTCCATAGGTATGGTAAGGCCAAATCTCTGGCTTCCGTGTGTAATGCTGACAAACAAAAGCAAACCTGGGACTTCTGAAGTCTAGTGCATGAGCCTCTACCTCTTGAACTAAAAGGCAGCTAGCTCTCAGCTAAGGCTGTCGAGGAGTGGGAAACTTATGGATCAGGACGGGATGCAGCCCCGACTTGCCTGGATCCAGCCCCAACTTGCCTGGATCCAGCCCGAGGCTCAGGCTCCCCAACCCCAACATTGGGGAGCCTGTGCTGGCACTCCAGCCCCTGCACTGTTCTCCCGTGGAACTGGAGCACACAAAATCTATTAGCTTGGGCTTCCCTAGGCTCGGGTATGCAAGGGGAATATGGGAATTGTCTTTCTTAGTCGGGGGCCACATTCATGAGGTTTTTTTATTCTTGCTTGTGCGCGGGCCCCTGACTGATTTTTCTGTGGGTCATCAGCCCCCAACCCTAAAATGGTTCCCCACCCCTGCTTCAGAGAAAACTCATTCTTTCTCTCTCTCTGTAAGTAGTCTAAGTGCCACTACTGGGACAGTGAACAGAGGTGTATGGGTTACATGTGAGCTAAGCATGCATACCCTAAGTGGAATATACCTCTGCATCTACTGGAAGAACAATTTTTTTTATTTTTAAATATTATTTTACTTCAAACTGCTGCGTAAACCACATGTCTGATTCATCCTTCACACCAACACTAATATATTAAAGAGCTAAATACTAAAGGTTGGACCTCTCTGATCTGGCATCCTCAAGACCTGACTAGTCCCAGATGAGGGATTTTGCCAGACCAGCTTGGCCTTCCTGGCCCCCTCCCCAAGCCCAGCTAAACCATGTGCTGGCTCCTGCACCCTACCCTGCCCTCTGCAGCCCAGCTGAACTGCGCACTGGGCTTTCCTGTTCCCTCTCATTCCCCTAAGCTTCCAGCCACCCACAGCAGTCCAGCTCAGCCGTGTGCTGGCCTTTCCGTCTCCACTTTTCATATTAAATTATATTTCCCATTTAATTCTGCAAGACTTACAGTGCAAAAACATTTGAAGTTGAAATTGTTTCTAGACAAATAACATGCAATATATTAACATTTACTTCAAAAGTCATTAGAGGACACCAGGAAAGAAGCTTCATATTGCACGCTTTATAACATATATAAAATGATTTAACTTACTGTCAGGGAGCTGAACTTCTCTGTATCTTACTAGCTGACTGGGAAGGAGTGGCTTTGTATGAGAATGCTCAACGAGAATGTCCTCAACCATTTGTATAATTCCTAATGCTGCCTGGAAGAGAAGACATTATTACAGGTTTTTTTAATTTATTCCTTAACAATCCTAAATCTGGCAGCACGCCGAACGATAGCAGTCATTGATGGTGAGATGCCAAATCAGGAATGGAAGGATGGAATGCTTAATTAAGACAAACAGTGTAAAAAAGTGAAAAATAATGTGGAAATAAGTGAAATTATTGTCCCTCTACTGGATTATTAATTTTTGTAGTAATCAAGTGCTACTGGCTAGGATTCATCTTTATACATTTAGCTAAACATTTAAACAAGTGCCCTCATTCCTGCACACCCCACACACAACAACCCCTCACTCTAAGCCTCCTCACCTCCCAACTAGGGATGTAATAGTGTAGTTGATTAACCAATAAGCAAAAGTTTATAGGTTAATGCTATAGACTACACATGTTTTCCCCTCCCTCCACCAGTACATTTTTTAGCAGGCTGTCCAGCAGCCCGGCTTAGTGCTGGCTCATGCCAGGTCCAGGACTTACCTTTGCTGCAGCTCTGCAATTCAAGTGTTTTAGGAGCCTGGTGTGCAAGCAGCCCAGCTCAGTTCTGGCTTGCGCTAGGTCTGGGAGTTCAGACCCGCCCTCCATTCTCCCTCCCGGACAGGGGCTGCTGCTTCTGTATCAGAGGCAGTAGCATGGGCTGATAGGTGACAGGGGCCTGCAGAAGGTATTCTGGGGTGGAGTGTTGCTGCCTCCAGCGCCTGCTCTCCCCATGCTCCGGGGCAGAAGAGGCAGGACTTGGCCAGGCCATGCGGTATGTCCTCCTCCGGAGCTGAGGAAGCTGGGGCCATGTTGCATGCCCCCTGACTTCCTCTGGGGCTGGGGAGGCTGGGGCCATGCCACCCATTCTCTGACCTCCTCCAGGACTGGGGAAGCTGAGGTGAGTGCGTGCCTGCCTGCTCCCTTCCTCTCCCCATGGTTAGGAGGGGGAGCACGCGCACTGCGCACTGCTCCGCCTCTCTATGGAGGTGGGGAAAGGGTGGGGCCTCAGAAGGGGCAGGGCTGGAGGTGGGGCATGGGGCTTACCTCCCCCAGCCATGCCTTCCCCAACCGTCCATGGCGACAGGCAGCTGGTCTGTAAGGGGAGCAGGTTTTTAAACTACCTGCCCTCGCAAACCAGCTCCAATCAGGCACCCTGTGCACTGCTGCATCTAATACAGAGGCAGTAGCGCAGAGTGGCAGAGGGCTTCTTGGGAGTGGGGCCAGAGTGCACTGGCTGGTGGCCCTGCCTGCTGGGACTATAGAATAGTTAAGTAACCAATAAGAATTCATGAGTTTAATCAACTATTCAGTTAACCAATATTTAACCCTACTTCCAACCACCTGCCCTAATCATTTAAATAAAGCATGTACTTTTTCCTTTTAATTTAAAAATGAAACCCAAACATTACTACAGTTAAGGACCTGAGCAAAACTGGGTACATCTTCTAGTTTACTAAATAGAGATGAGATGATTCACATACTTAACACCTTGCTGACTTGGTGCCTTTGTTCCCATAGACACCATACATATGATTAAGCTTAAAAAAAAAAAAAAAAACAACCACCCTTACATCTACATGACAGTGTAACAAACTGCCTCTGCCATTTTTATTTGCAAAAGATAAACTTCATTTGTTCTTTCGGAAATGTCATCCATTTTTTTAAATGCACTACAATATACTAGATCAATATATGTCATTTAATATAGCAGGAGATGATAAAGTAACATAGTTCTAAACTATGACCAAAATTGAATCTAAAGACAGAGGGTAAAATTTATAAAAGTGCCTGATTGACTTCATGAGACCTAGATTCCCAAGTGCCCAAGTCAGTTTTGAAAAAGAATCTTTGAATCTTAAGTTACTTGGCCACTTTTGAAAACTGTATCTAGAATCTCTAATATGTGACTATACCCACAGATGTAGACTACAATGCTGTGCTTTAGTTATTAAATGTGGATGTTAATATTTTAACTGAATATTAGTTCTTAAAACAACTATTTTAAAATGATAAATTCAGATTTTCCTTTAATGTCTTAAATATAATTAGCTTTTTATAAATACCCAATATGGTGTTTATTGCTAAGCAGTTCTAAAGTTTTGGACATTTTCAGTAAATCTACTGTTTCAACTACGGATGTTAAACTCTGATTAATCAAATAGTCGATGGGATTTTCATCGACTATTCAATTAGTCGATAAGGATCTTGTGCATTTCAAAGATTAAAATGATGCATGGAGCCCGGGGCCAGCAGGGAGTCCCCCCTGTTGATCCTGGGTTCCATGCGGGCACTTCTGCTTTGAAATGTACAAGAGTCCCAGCAGGGACTCTTGTACATTTCAAAGTTGGAATGCCACCGCTGTGCCCCTGCCCCCTCCCATGGAGCTGGAGGGAGCCAGCTTTTAAGATGGCTCTCCCTAGCACCCCTTCCTCTCCCCCCCGCTTACTGCCTCTTTCTGATAGCGGCAGCAAGGGGAAGAAGCAACTAGTCGCTTACATCCCTAGTTTCAATCTAAACAGCATCAAATACACACACACACACACACACACACACACACACCATCTCATGCAGATAACTTATAAAAGATCTGTACATTTATGAAGAAAAAGCAAAGGGAAAAAGAGATGAGGTCAAGTGAAACACAGGAAATCTCAAGGCAAAACCAAAATAATATGTATTCTACTCTAGAAAACAATTACCACGGAATATTTATAACATGTTGGTATCACTGTGAGCACAATTAGCCTACTATTAGCAGAAATCAACACCCTATTGAGGCAAAATACAAATGTCAGAATAGAAATCTAAGCATAAAAGTAGACTGAAAGGAGCCCAGAAGAAGCTGATCATTTCTGATCACCATGATCTGATCACCGTAGATAGATGCATCATATGTACATGCAATGATATATATTTTTGTCCCTCCTAAACTGTATATAGAAAACATTTTTCTTGTGATTGGGTCCCATATCATGTCACCACAATATGTGCTCGATGATGATTAATTCTGTGGTGATTTACAGGGGAATTTAAATAATCTTGTTTATATAGATAGAGTAGGGGGAAGATAAGATTATTCTTTCGTTTACATTTCCACAAAAAAAGGTAAAAAATTAAAAAGCAACTTTTCTGGCACTCTTATTTAAAGCTGAAACTTTATATATCTTATCCTGGTTCTTTTTTTCTTTCACTCACTGCTGCTAGCTACTTCCCTCTCCATACACTTTAGTGATGACCTAAAGAGTTTTAGTGCTAGTGTACTTTCACTAGACTAATATAACAGCATTTCTGACATGATGTTATTGGGAATGCAGCTATAGCAGCCTCCTGGGAATAGATACAGACATTTTAATATTTTAACGCTCTCAGAAAATTATTGTGACATGCAGTGTTTGAAAATGCACTCAGATCCTTGGATAAATGTGTTATAGAATTACAGTTTTAATACACAATAAATAATTTGTGCCTCTTACTAGCTGTGCCCTTTTGTTCTCACAAGGAAAAGTGACTGGAAGTCTGAGTTATGGATCCACATTCCCCTTTAGCCCTGTACTAAATGCTTCATTTTGAAGGATTCTGAATGTTTTAAACTTTTATTAGTCAACTGTTTCATATATCTGAAGCTTGTAAATGGTTACTTTTGCAATCTGAATTACATAGGCCAGGTCTACACTAGAGGATAAGTTTAAACTAAGATACGCAACTCTACCTATGTTAATTGTGCAGTCAGAGTCAACATACCTGGATTCGAACTTTGACACCCACCCCACAGTGGGAGGTTAACAGGAGAAATGCTTCCACTGACTCCCTTTACTCCTTGTGAGGAGCAGGAGTACTGGTATCAATGGGGGCACCCTCAACATTCAATTTAGCGAGTCCTTACTAGACCCACTAAATTGAAGATCAACCTCTGGAGCATTGTTCCGTGGATAAATATAGACAGCAATGCAATGCAGACTTTAAAATATTTAGATTATAAACTATTTTCTATTATAGCAAATCTCAAAGATCAACATTCAGTGTAGCATTGAGCCTGACAGAAGAAAAATCATCATGATAAACCTGTTGTAACACATCTAAAAATAAAAATAAAGCAAAGACTTTGGCAAAAATTGTTTTAAAATTTGGGAAGAGTTAATAAACCCTTAGGTTTTAGGGTTTATTTAATCATCCCAAATTTTAAAACTATTTTTTCCAAATAGGCATAGTCTTCACTTAATATTTAGCTTTTTTACAGCTAAATGCTCTTTTTAATACCAACTGTTTCTATTAAAGAAAATTTCAGACCTGTTTTGTTATATTGCCATGGAGAAGAGCCTCAATGTGTAACCGTGACAACAGCTGAGATATAAAGGCCTTGAGGCGAGGAAGAGTGACATCTAGAATAGATAAATAGACAGTTAAATCAATCATTTTTTTTTTTTACATTTCAAGGAATCAACCACATCATATCTGCTGGTGATTTTCTTGGAGAAGGGAAAATCATAATAATTATAAACAAGGGATTTTTCCTTAAACATTCATTGTGGAAAGTGTGTAAGTTTAAATATCAGCACTCATTGCAGAGTTTCTTTTGCTTAGAATTCACACAGCATCTGACCCAGATTCCATTAAGGAAAAAAGCCTGCTCTCTAATCATGCTGAACACACATTCACTCTCCAGAGAAAATAGTTACAATCATTCAGGTGGTGCTGAGAGATAAAGCTGTAGTTATTAACTACATAAAGAATATGTGGCTTATAATTCTCCTGCAAGGTACAGTGCATTATCTAAACTAAGATAATTTCAATTCAAATTTCATAGTTTGACAGTAATTTAGCACTAAATCATACATAAAAATAATTCTTAATTTACTAATGTACACACATTTTCATATTTTAAACTTTCCAATTAGTATTATTCTTTTTATGAAGCAAAATACAATTTACAAGTTAGAATCAAGAGAATCGGTAGACTAAGAGCAGAATGAAGGCCGCTTGATAAGAGCACTGGTTTTGGAGTCAGGAGACATGGGGGTCTATTCACTGGCTCTGCTACAGATTCCCTGTGTGACATAGGGAAAGTTCTTTATTTTTTTCTGTGCCTCATTTTCTTGTCATAAAATGGGGATAATAGCATTTCCCCATCTCAAAGAGGTGTTCTGAGGATGAATGCATTAACAACTGTGAGGTACTCAATCAGTTACTATTGCAATGGAGGGCATATATGTACCTAAGATAGGTAGATGTCTTTATCCTAAAAATATCATCAATATTTAATTTTTTCTCTCAACCCCATGCAATGTCCTCCCAAAAACACACATAATTTCCACTTTTTTCCTTTGCCAAATCAAATATTAGCGGCTTTCACTTCCTTAGTCATGTCTGATATTTAAATATATGTCTCCTAGAAAGGCAAAGGGTCTCTTATTGTTTGCATAATTACACTCTTAATTCTGATTTTAAAAAAAACAAAACCATTTGTTGGCAGTACACAGGGGTGGGGCTGTCTGGCAGTAGTAGCGAGGGTGATGGTAATAAAAATCAAACAAAAAAATCAGTGTTTCTCAAGCAGAACTATAATGTTGCAAGATGGACTTTAACCTCTTCAAAGAGCACATCTGTGTTAAATTGCCATATTAAGCACACTCCGTATTAAGCTTGAAATTGATTACATTAAGGGACAGATGATAGCCAATGCAAAAAAGAATCTGCAGTTCTCAAAAGGAGGAAAGGAATGTCCTTTATCAGGCTGACCCTGCTCTTGCTGAAATTAATGCTAATTTTGCCCCTTACTTCAGTAGGGCTCACTGAGAATCACCTTACTTTACACTATATAGACATTCAGAACAAAACATTTAGGGCCCAGTGATTCCCAAGTTAAAAATTAGCAGGAACTCACCATCTAGAGCTTCTTTTAATTCATCTTTGGTCCAAGCAACTTCAGTCATCAACAGTCGGAGGTAATACATAGCATGCTGGTGAGGTTGTTCAGCTCGAAAGTTGTTAAGTGATCTCATGTACTAACAAATTTAAAAAGGATATTCAGTTACCACCAAACTCAGCTTCTAAATACAACAGCAGTATCACCCCTGAACTAGCTGGCTTTGTATGCAACCAAAATCCCCACATTCCAGAAGCCAGTAGCCACATTATCGCTATTCTTGTGTCGTGTAATAATGGAAGTGAACTATTCTCATGATGTTATAGATTTGCTTACATAAGGACATGGCTAGGGACTAAACTGGAATAGCTAAACAAGTTTCAATTTTGACAAAAATTTATTCTCAGAGTGCAATTTTCCATTATTTCATAAAGACGGATAACGCCAAACTAATATTTCAAATCAGTTAACTCACTCTAGTCATGACCTATATATTCTGTGTCAACTTCTAAACTATACAGGTTGTACCTCCCTTAACTGGTCTAGCATGGACCATGGATGCTCCTGGACCACAGAGCACAGGAAGAGGGCGAGCTCGTGGCGGGGCAGGAGCGCCATAAAGGGCACAGGTGGTTCTCCTAAGAGCCCAGAATGTGTGGAGGAGGGATAGCTCAGTGGTTTGAGCATTAGCCTGCTAAACCCAGGGTTGTGAGTTCAATCCTTGAAGGGGCCATGTAGGGATCAGGGACAGTACTTGGTCCTGCTGTGAGGGCAGGAGACTGGACCCGATGACAGCATGGCAGGGAGTTCTGGCTCCAGCAGAGCTCCCTGACCCCACAGCTGGGGAGCTCTAGCCTGGTAATGGCCATGGACCTGTCCAGCAAACAGGATACTGAGCTAGATGGACCTTTAGTCTGACCGTTCTTATGTTCCTGGCTGTGGAGCTCCAGCGGCTGGGAAATACTGGCGTTGAGATGGGACCAGAGCTCTGCTGCCTCCACCCTGGCTGCAGAACGCTGGTCTCAGCTGCAGAGCCAGGCAACTACGGCACTCTGTCCTGGCTGCATAGTCTGGCTGTGGTGCTCTGGTCCCAGCAGCAGTGGGACCACGCAGAGCCCCGGAGGGCAGGGGGGCTGAAGTAGCAGCAGGGGCAGGCTGGAACCCTAGCCTAGGGGCAGCACGGCCACAAGGGGAGGGACCTTCCCTGGTCCAGCAAATCCCCTCGTTCAGGACCAGTGAGGTCCAACATGTAATTGCAAACTATAATTGTCCAGTGAGCTATTCTCACACTGTTAGAGGCTGGGCCAGCTAGCAGGTTTTCCCCTTGATGGGTATAGATGTAAGAAGAAGAGGAGCAAGGCTGTGACAGCCTTCCTTTTACTCAGTTTGCATCCAGGCAAAACAAACACAGACATCTGTTCAACCAGGAAGGGGAAGCTAACATTCTTTGCAATGTGGAATCTACTGGGTCTAAACAACTACTTATAAGCATACTCTCCCTTTCACAAGAGAAAGTTAGCTGTTTTTCAGAGGCCAGTGAGTAAGTGGGATATGCAACCCCTGTAAACTCAAACTAAGAGGGCTTTGTCTGAACTGACAGGAAAAAAGGAGAAGTGTCTCCTTCAGGAGTCCCCTTCCACTTGGGAATTGAGAAGATGTGGCCAGAGGGTGGAAGCATCACCTAAGATAGTAGGCAGATCAGTAGGACTTAAGTAACCCACTGGCCCTTGCAGAACTGGGAAAGTACATAAACCCTAGTTCCTCCAGCCTGAGCCCCACCACCTAACCCAGGATTAGTTTAGGACTGGATGTTTTTCCTCTCTGTTATGGGCACTGTACTAATTGCCTCATTTGTAAGTGGGAAGAACTCACACTGTGGCCAATCTGAACATGGGGGGGGGGGGCTGTTTTTCCTTCCCCAAAGCAGCTCAGGGACCTTGTAGGGCAAATCAGGATGTTACAACTTAGCAGGTGCCAGGTGTCCATTGCCCAGTGAAGCTACTTTATTGCACATGAAGTCCAGTTCTTGTAGAAGTGGAAGTGGATTTAGGGAAGGCATCCCCTTCAAGAAAAGGTGGAACAGGATTAGGGCTCCAAATGTCTACTGAAGCAAGGGGACAACCCACTTATTTCAACCCCTTAAACTTCATACAAGGGGAAGGTGGAGGTTAAAAGCAGTCAGCTGGAAACAGCTTTGAAGGGCAGATAGCACCACATCCCATGCATCTCTCAGTGTTTTGGGGAGAGAGGAAAGTTGGTGGAGAATGCATTCCCCTTTAACCTGCTTCAGAAGAAAGAAGCGGATACAGATGAGCTTGTGGGAGAAGAAAAAGCAACCTCTCTTCTTTAGATTGATGGTTTTTGTTTTTTCCATTATGTTGCAATATGCAAGGATACACATACAATATAAATTGTACTTGATAGCAAAATAATGAAAAATAAATTCCAAGATAAAACTCTGCTGAATTCTATAGACATAAATGAGAAAGCATCTCAGAAAATTCCAAAATACTATTCATTTTACTTATATATTGCATAGATGTATTTAGAAATGTCTTTGAGGCCTCCCTAGTTTTAAATTGATTTTTTGTCTATTTTATATTGCCATTTGTGTCCGTTTACTACAGTGATGAGATTCAACAAGCCACATATACATAAACTCTGATTTTAGACTAAGTCTTCCTTAAATTTGATGTTCACCTAGTTGAATATTAAAATTAAAAGTCTGTTATACCATAGAATGCTTTCTTCTTATGCAGACAATTCTAATATAAAAAATTACATTTCCAGATTGGACTAAAAGATGTAACAAAGAAGAGGTTATCAATTTCAAAAATAAAAAACAATTGTAAAATGCAGTGTATGAATATGGATAATTGAAATTTGTTTTCATTTCCAGAATTCTGAATATACCTCATGTACTCCTTATTCTACACCATAAAATGGTTATGATCCCCTGTGTTGAGGGGAGGTCAGGACCATCCCCCCCCCCCCCCCCCCCCCCCCTTCTTTTCTCTTGCTTGCACAAACAAGTTTTAAGGTTTTTTTTTTTCTTGTTGTAAATGGGATTGGAATATGGAAAAGTTTGAGAACCACTGTTCTACTTCTTTTATAAAATAAAAGGTATAATCAGAAATTAACACAAAAAGCTCACACATTTTGCCTGAATAAAGACCATAGGGCCAATAATTTTGAAACTGTATAACTGACATTTAAATACTTTGGATGAACTTGTAGCCAAACCACCAATAGCCAAATTCCCATCAACTTCAGTGGGCTAGGATTTCACCCTGTACTTCTGGGCAAATTTAGCTTTCAAATTCCATAAAAATGTTCACATTTCACTCATAGTCTATGTATTCTGCTTTAAGTTATCCCAATCACATTCAATTTCCACAGAGCTTACCGCTTCCTTGATAATTTCAAATCTTTTCTCATCAATCTCAAACGTGGCCATTTTCTCAATGATCTTCTTTAACAAGATATGCTGCCTGTCATTATATCCTTTTACAGTTGAAGAAAACATGAAAAGTCAAAGAGCAATTTCTAAACAATGTTTAATGTTCTAAAACTCATCACAATTAGAAACACACACATATTTGGCTGTTAATCTAAAATCACTTTTACTCACAAAGTGCTATAATATTGATGAAGACAATATTGCATGTCTTGGTGATTTTAGATGCAAAGAACAAATGTGGGTTGGACCTCTCTTGTCCAGCACCCTTGGGACCGGATTGTCCCAGATGAGGGAATTTGCTGGACAATGGGAGGTCCTCTGATATAGCTCCTCAGCCTGCTGCCAGCTCTGTCAGCCCAGCTGGGCTGTCTGCGGGCCACCCCCCAGCCCTGACTCCGCTGCTGGCTGAGCAGCTCCAGCCCCACTGCCAAATAGCACACTGCCTGATCGGGCTGCCACAGCCCCAACCCTGCTGCCAGGTGGCACATGGCCCCAGCTGAGCTGATTCTGCCAGGTTGCCACAGCCCCGGACAGCTTCCTCTCCCGGGCTGCTGTGGCCACAGCCCCGGCTCCACTGCCACTGCCACTGCACAGGCTGCTGCAGCCTGACTAGGCTTCCCCTCTTGGGCTGCTGCGGTCCTGGCAGCATTGCCAGGGAGCAGACAACCCGGATCGCACTCCGCCCAGAATGTTGCGGCCCTGCTGCTAGCACACTCACGGGGCTGCACCAGGCTCCCAGCTGCTGGCCCTCCTGCCCCAAGGAACTCTCATCCAGGAACATCCATGGTCATCCAGGACCACGGATGTTGCCGGATGAGAGAATCCTGAATTTGGAAGGTACAACCTGTATACATTTACTGCAGCTTAATAAAGCAGCAATGTGTATGAGTATAGACTGTTCATTAGGATGGGATCTAGTCAACAATATATGTTTGAAGTAATCAAAATTGTTTTTCCACTCTGGACTTCTCATTATACCAATAAAAATTAGCTTCCTGCTCTCTTCAAATGTTACACCCAGAAACCTATTTTCAACTTGATATTTAATTTTTCTTTGTGACCCATAAATACACAAATTTTACTGGAGTTATATTAAATAATATCATTACACTAGGGTCAGTGTGGGCACCTGCATTGATAAAAGAAGGTATGATGCTAGCTTAATAAAAAACCACAGGTGTTAGTCTGAAATGTTGCAAGATATGAGCATCGCTATAAAAGTATTGATAAGGCTTCATACAGTGTAATATGCATATGGTATTAATCATCTAAATTACAAAATGAGTATCTATAAAGCATAAAGAAAGACTCTTCATACCATGATATAATTATGTAGCCTATCTGATAAGAAAGGCTCCAAACATAAAGGAGAATACAAGATTTAAATCCTGTTTCCAAGAATTGAAAGGGGGACACAGTATTATGAGAGAATCACAGAAATGTAGTACTAGAAGGGACCTTTATATGTCATTTATTTTAGTCCCCTGCACTGAGGCATGTCTAAGTATTATCTAGACCAGTGTTTCTCAACCAGTGGTACAAGTACCCTTAGAGATACTCGAGAGAAGTCTGGGGGGTACGTCAACACAACTAAAATTTGGAGAAAACTGAATTTTTGTTTTAAGTTTGACAGTGTTTTATTATTTTTGTACTTTTTACACCCAAAAATTTTATCACCCGCCCAGCTATGATTAAGTTGTTTGAGCAAATGTGTTGCAATAGTAGAAAAAAATTGTGTGCGTCTGAAAACTGTAGGTACTGGGGTACTTATAATTTTTTGTTTTTAAAGAGGTACTTTATAAAAAAAGGTTGAGAAACACTGATCTAGACCATCACTTTTAGTTATCTGTCTAACCTGTTCTTAAATACCTCCAGGGATGGAGGTTCCATAAACTGCATAGATAATTTGTTCTAGTCCTTAAGTATCAAAAGCCTCGCTAAAGTAAAAATGTATTGTAGCTTTGCTTCCCCCCATTTACAAGGCCTATTACTCTATCAAAAAGAGATATTAGGTTGGTTTGACATGATTTGTTCTTGACAGATCCATGTTGACTGTTACTTCTCACTTCATTATTTTTTAGGTGTTTACAAACCAATTGTTTATTTGCTCCGTTATCTTTCTGGGTACTGAAGTTAAAGTGACTGGCTTATAACTCCCTGGGTTGCCCTTATTCCCCTTTTTATAGATATGGTTGAGCACTATATTTGCAATTTTCAAGTCCTCTGGGGACTCTCCCATCCACCAAAAATTCTGAAAGATAATCACTAATGGCTCAAAGATCTCTTCAGCCACTTCCTTAAGTGTTCTAGGATGTATTTAGCCAGATCCTGCCAAACTGAAGGCATCTAAATTGTTTAAGTGAGTCTTAACTTGTTTTTTTTCCCTTTCCTATTTTGGCCTCAGATCCTACCATGACATTAACCATCCAATCGCTGATAATCTTTTTGGGGAAAAAGGCTTTTAACACTTTGGCTTTTGCTGTGTTTTCTCTTATTCCCTCTCTCTCCCTTCATTGAGTAATGGACCTATCCTGATCTTCCCGTTACTTCTAATGTACTTGTAAAAGGTTTTTTGTTACCCTTAGTATTCCTACCTAATTCTTCATCTTGTTTTATGCCTTGTTTTTCGGATTTTGCCCCATAAGCTTCTGGTGGGCGTTTATGTTTTAATATCAATGTTTCATAATTTGACTCATACAAAAAGTGGAAACTGAGTTTTGGGTCATTAAAAATCTTTTGGTACTGCCAGCATGCTCTCTTATCATGCTTCCTGTCTATGCATTGAAATAGTTTTCTCTTACACTTTTAACAACGTATCTTTTAAAAACTGCCAGCTCTCCTGAACCTTTCCCCGCCCTACACTTGTTTCACATGGGATCTTACCTACCAAGTCTCTGGGTTTGCAAAACTCTGCCATCTTGAAGTCAACTGTCCATTACTATTGTTCTTCTCTCCTACCACAAACTCATGCAATTGCTTTTCATCTTCAAATTTTCAAACAGTTCCTTGCTATTTGTCAAAATCAAATCTAAGACAGCAGGCCCACTGACAGCAATCCCAGGCCCTAGGGCAAAACAGCCAATAGATCCCCTTTGCCCCCTCTCCTAAGCTGTGCCTAGTGGTGGCCCTTCAATACAGGCGAACTAGGCACTTGCCTAGGGCACCAAGATAAATGGCCGTTGAGGGCTTTAGAGGCAGGGGTGCCGATCGCGCATTTCGCTTAGGGCGCCAGTTGCCAGAAGCTCGTCTAGGGCCACTCCTGGCTGTGTCTACTGGATACAGTCTACCAGACACTGTGTTGGTGGTGCTGCACCTACAAACTGCTGGTTGCATTGTGGGGTAAGTTCTTCTGGCACAACTAGGTCTTCCACATGCCCAACCCATAGGGTTGCCAACTGTAATTGTGCAAAACCAAAGATTTTTGCCCTGCCTCTTTTCCGAGACTCTGCCTCTGATCACTGCCCCCTTTCCTCCCTCCGTCACTTGCTCTTCCCCACCCTCATTCACTATTATCAGGGTTGGACGGGGGGTTGAGATATGGGAGGAGGTCTAGCCTCTGGATGGGACAGGAAGGTTCGGTGCCAGTGGGGTTGCAGGCTCTGGCAGGGAGTGTGTGAGGGAGTGAGAAGTGCTGGATCTGAGAGGGGGTTTGAATGTGGGATGCAGCCTCTAGGCTGGGACAGGAGTTGGGGTAAAGAAAGAGGTAAGTGGGGTGGCACTTACCTCAGGTAGCTTCTGAAAGCGACTGACACACCCATGTCACAGTGGCTCCTAGGCAGGTACGGCAGAGGCCACATGCCACTGCACATAGGCACCACTCTACAGCTCCCATTGGTAATACTGCCCACTGTAGTCAATACTTAGGGTGGGGGCAGCATGCAGAGATCCTACGCTCCCCCCAGGGCTGCAGGGATCTGCCAGACACTTCTGGGAGTGGAGCAGCAGGAAGCCTGCCTTAGCCCTGCTGCACTGTCAGTGATGGCTGGGAGCCCCTCAAACCTTTTAAATTACCCCTTTGTTCCCCCTCTGGTGGCAGACCTGTACAGCAGCCTCTCTCCCGTTACTTCCTCTATGCTCTGTAATAAATTGTTGTTTCCAGTGCCACCCTGAGAACTAGCTGGGTAACCTGTACCCTGCTATATTATTTTCCCAAAGAGGTGTCTGGATAATTGAAGCTAAGAGACTAATACCATCAAGTCCTTTGGTTTGAATGATTTTGTTAATTTTAAAAAAATGTCATCTGCCCCGTCTTCCTGGTTAAGTGGCCAACTATAGGCCCATATCATGACATTACCCTTGGTTTTTACTTCTTATCTTTATATGAAATACCTCCTCTCTTTTTTCGCTGCCTCTCCCTACTGAACAAGCTGTACCCATCTATATCAATATTCCAATCATGTGAATTATCCCAAGTTTCTGTGATGCCAATTATGTCATGACTGTGATTATTAATATTTCTAGTTCTTCCTGTTTATTCTCCATACTTCTTGCATTAATACACAGACATCTAAGATGTCCATTCGATTTTGCCTCTATAGTCACTTATCTCTCCTCTGTGCCTCCTTGATAATCTTCCAGGACACAAAGGCAATCTTTCCAAGGGACGAATAAAATATTGTAGTTATGATTGGAAGCTCTGGATATGAGATTTCAGCTATATGGCGGGAAGTGGTTTTTCTCCATTATTATTAAAATATTGAATAATCTACCATATGACTGATGTAGATATCAAAAAATGCATTTTATGGCAATGGCTGATACACAGTCATAATAAATAATATACTTGGGTAGATCTTAAACATTATGTGATAACTTAGATACTACAATAATGTGTGCTATAGAAATGTATGTACATCACATATAATGATCCGCTTTTCATGTAACATTCATCCTTTTTTAGGATATCAACATTATAAAAGCATATCTAAAGTATGTATGCACTACAGAATGGCGGAATACCTATCACAGATCTTGTGCAATACTGTAAATAAATATATAGATATATAAACTGAGGGTTCCAGATACCAATTCAGATTAATATCACTTTACAGCATGAAACTGGAATCTTTGCATAATTTTAAAATAAGTTTCCAAGATATGAACTTAACTGCTTATAAAAAACTGTAAAAATCTGACAGCAAATAAGTTTGCTTTCTTTTATGATTAACTCGGACCACTTAATTTTAAAATGTTAGGAAGCTTTCAGAATAAAAAAATATGTATATATTTTCAGGCAGTTATGTGGAACCACTGGAAACAGGATTTGTGGGGTTGAAGTCACAATGGCACAGATATTGAGTGCCTTTGAGCATAGAAAATTCAAAGGCAGTACAGATCATACTCTGTCCATTAAGGTCTTCTTAGATTCCTATAAATATAGTGTTCTTTTTTTCCCCGAGGTTGCTGGTGTGTTAAATAAAAATTGTTAATAAAAGGCCTTTAACACAACTGCAAGCAAGTTTTGGATAATTATCAGAAATATCTTAGGAAAGCCTAAAGAAGTGACAATACATTATAAGATTAATAAATATTGAAAAAAATGCCATAGTTTTGGATTTTAAAATGGTTGACAAAAATCAACTTCAAAGCAAATTCACAAACATGTATTAGTCTGATACAAACATGCACAAATGGATTCATAGCTCAGTGCTGCTGAATTAAAGGAACTAAGTATATAGTAAATCTAGAGGGTTAATATTCCTACAATACAAAATGCTTTTTATTTTGAAAATTCAGAATTAATCCATTCCATATACTAACACACCATAACACTTTCAGAGTTACTGTGCAAGCAAATAAAAATGTGTATTAGAACACACAGAGTTGCAGCGTGCACACATTGACTAATTAACCAAATCATTCACTAATGATTAAAAAAACTGTGGGTATTTTTCAGTCATGAGATAGATGCAAGGAAAAAATCATTAACCAACTTGTTTAGAAATGCAGAAGTTAATGTTTTCCCCAAGCTCAAATTAACTCTCAAGCTGTCTTCACTTCTTCCTGTATTTTTTATTACTTACAAGAATTGCATTCATTCCTGATGCAATGCCATAGATCAAACCTGAGAGGCGTGCTGCATATGTATACTCTTTTAAATCATCCTTCAATAACCTGATAAACAGGTATGTCATGTTGCAATGGAGAGGATCAGCATAAATGTAGCGACTAACAAAAAGAAAAACAAAAGAAATGCTTTGATACCCTCAAGCAGTGACATAGTAATGGATGAAGAAACATGACTGAAGAGTATGTATATGCAGCCTCGTTATTAGTGTCTCTTAGAAGAGAAAGTTGAAGTGAACCACCTATTAAGTAGCAATGTGAAGATTTTTTTTCCTTGGTCAGAAAGTTTTTCCAATATCAATTTGACATAGAACGAAACTAAATCAAAACTCAGAATTAGGATCAAAATCACTTTTTTCTTTTCCTTTTTTGGAGGAAACTAATCTGATGAAAGATGTAAAAAAAATAAGTAAATTTGCTTAGTATAAATGGAAATATTGTTGAAGACTAGGAACAAGATTCAACTTAGCATTCAAATTATGAGAAAGTATGGTTAGCTATCAAGATTTTTAAAAGGAAAAAAAAACAAAAAAGACTTAAACCATCAATGGAATAAAAGCCATTTTTTTAAAAATAAAAATGCTTCCATCAAATCAATATAAAAATTTTTGATTAAGTGGAAGTAGATTTAAGGCTCTAAGATTTTCCTTGATTTGAGTACTTACATACATCCCATAGATGGTATTTTGGAGGTCATAGTTCAAGCCAGCTAGTTCTGCTGCATATGCATACTCGTTGAGGGAGTCTTTGAGTAGTTCAAGGTACAAATAGGCCATGTTACAATGCAAGGGATCCACGTAAGCAAATGGGCTGGAAGAAAATGTTGAAAGCAAAATATCTGGTTTAATTAATTTAATATTTAATTATTATTAATGTTGGGGCTTTAAGTTGAGCTCAAGAACATTTAATATTTGAATATACCATGTTATTGGATCCCCCTTATAAAGCATTACTATTTCAAAATAAAACACACAGATAACCAAAAATACATGTTGATTCTCTTATAGTTTCAGCATTGCCCAATTATAAATACACATTCATGACTTTAACCTAAATCTCTTTTCTTTTTAAACTGATAAATCATGCCATGCTATATTGACTCTGCTGCTCAAGTCAGACTCCATCAAGTGCATAATTTAAACAAACCCCAAGTATTCAACATAAATAAGATACGTCCAATTTCTAAACATTAAGTAGATTAATATTTTTGTGCTATTAGAAAATATAATAGTTGCTATTTATAGAGATGAACAATTACTAAACCATTATATGCAAGGTACTGCAGAATTTCCTATACTCAGATCAGGAAATAACTGCACCATCTCCCATTCCATGGTATAGTAACTGTATGAGATAAACTGTATATTTTTAATGAAAACAACTGTACAGGTTCCAGTGTTATGTTAGTGATATTTAACCATATATAGCAGCTACATATATCTCTTAAAAAGAGAATGGCAACTCAAAGACTCAAGCCATGTTTCAACAATATTGATATTTGTTAAATATTGGTATTTATTAGAGCACTACAAGCTAAGTCAAAACTAATAATAATTTATTCCTACTTTGGTCAGATATTTATTTTAATTGCATTATATATGCATGTGTATGTACATAAATGTATTATAAATTTCACAGACATAATACGCAGTATATGAAATAATTCCTGGTAGAAATACTGATTATCAAATACATATTAGTGTTCATCACATACAAGAAGATAAGTCCTATTTCCAATACACATCTGTGGCAAAGACTAAAGATGAGCTGCAAAAGGTTTACAAAATAAAGTTCTTTGTTTTTTAAATCAAAACCTGGATCTCTGTCTCTCTCCCACCCTGCTAAAGTTAGGGAATAGAACTACAAGAGGAACTATAAGGATATTTTCTGTTACAGAAATTGGCAGTCCAAGTGGCCCTTCAGAATCTGATTTCCAATTCAGTGAAAGTTGACAACCTAGTACAGCATTACCAGCACTGGTTTGGCTGGTATAAGCATGCACCTAGAATGAGTCAGGTTAGTATGGGCCTCTTATTTGCATTACCTTTTATCTACAAAAGGAACATTCCAACAACAGACTAATTTGAATTAGGGACAGCAAGTAATTTAAAAAATTAAATTTTTAATTGTACAATTAGTTACAATCATGAGTAATATAATACTGTTTATGTAATTATTTTGGGGGTTTTATACATTTTTAAATATATTGATTTCAATTACAACACAGAACAAAGTAAGTTGTGCTCACTTTACTTTTCATTACAAACATTAGCACTGTAAAAACAAAACCAATAATAATTTTCATGTCCCCCATCGTAAGTACTGCAGTACAATCTCTATCGTGAAACTTTAACTTACAAATATAGAATTATGCACAAAAAAACCTGCATTTTAAAAATGTGAAATTTTAGAGCTGACATGTCCACTCAATCCTACTTCTTGTTCAGGCAATTGATTGGAGAAACAATTATATTTATGGGAGAAAATGCTGCCTGCTTTTTATTTACAATACCACTTGAAAGAGAGAACAGGTGTATGCATGACACTGTAATAGCCGACATTGAAAGATATTTGTGTGTCAGATGTGCTAAGGACTTGTGTCTCTTCATGCTTCAACAACCATTCCAGAGGACATGCGTCCATGCTCATGACAAGCTCTGCTCAATAATGGTCCAAAACAGAGCAGACTAATGTATGTTTATATCATCTGAGTCAGATGCCACCCAGTAGGAGGTTAATTTTCTTTTTTGGAGGTTTGGGTTCTGTAAGTTTCTGCATTGGAGTATTATTCTTCAAAGACTTCTGAAAAATGTTCCACAACTGCTGTCAGATTTAGAAATCATGTCAGATTCTTAAAACTTTGGGTTGCATGCTGTAGCTATCTTTAGAAATCCCACATTGGTACTTTCTTTGCTTTTTATCAAATCTGCAGTGAAAGTGTTCTTAAAATGAATATGTGTTGGGTCATCATCCGACACTGCTATAACATGAAATAAATGGCAGAATGCTGGTAAAACAGAGCAGGAGACACAATTCTCCCTTAAGGAGTGAAGTCACATTTGATTTTTTTAAAACAAGCGCCATGAGCATTGAAGTATGTTCTTTAGAATGGTGGCCGAAGCATGTAGGGGCATATAAATATTTAGCATTTTAGGAACGTAAATACCTTGCAATGGTGGTTTCAAAAGTACCACGTAAACACCTGTGCTCACTTTCAGGTTACACTGTAAATAAGAAGCATGAAGCATTATCTCCCAGAAATGCAAACAAATGTGTTTCTCTAAATGATTGCTTAAGATGCAGGATGTGTATGCTCTAAAATTTTGCATCATTTTGTTTTGAATGCAGTTATGTAAAAAAAAAAAATTATATTTGTAAGTTTCACTTTCATAATAAAGAGATTGCAATACAGTACTTATATGAGGTGAATTGAAAAATATTATTTATTTTATCATTTTATGGTGCAAATATGTGTATAAAAATAAGTTAGCACTGTACACTTTGTATTCTGCATTGCAACTGAAATCAATATATTTGAAAATGTAGAAAAACATCCAAAATATGTAATAAAATAGAATATCAATTTAAATGTAACAGGATGATTAATCTCTATTAACTAAAAACATTAATTGTGATTATAAAAATTAACTGCATTAGTTACCTGTGATTAAATCAACACCCCTAATCTGAATGTGTTCACTTATTCATGTCCCAGGATAAAATACTGAAATCCAAGTAATATACCAGTCAAGCATTTAGATGCCTCAATTACCCCAAAATGGACTGAATTTTCTCAAGTTTGATACTAGAACTTTTTATTCTGGACTATTTTCAGTATCTATAGCAATTATGACTCTTGCTATTCATTTGGCAGGTAAACACTAAAGGGACACTTGGGACTAGGACTGTTATCCATTCATTTGTGAAAATAGAATGATCCAACACTATATCAACAGTCTTGTTTAAAAATGGCAGATTAGAAATTAGCACTAAATGGTAAGGTTGGTAACCTTTTTTTAAAAGGATTTTTTTTAAAGCTTACCAACCTTACCAGTTACTGCTAATTTCTACTCTGCCATTTTTAAACAAGATTGTGGGTATAACAATGTTGGAGCAACTCAGTAGAAAGTTGGTATCCTGGATTAATTCAGTACAAATCCAATATTTTGTGTATAGTTGCTGACTTCCTCTGAGCAATAACACAGATTGTATACTTTCTGTAATTTTTAAGTGCATCAGATGCAAGAAGCCTGCTAAACAACCAGTAGGGCTACTGGACAAGAGAGATGCAAATAGGAACACTCAGGTGACAAACTGAGAAACTATGTCCTATACTGAGGTGTCAGAGAGAATTTTGGAACAAACTCATCAATTAAACAGTAAGTCACCAGCACTAGATGGCATTTACCCAAGAGTTTTCAAACAATTCATTTGTGAAATTGCAGAACTACTAACTGTCAATAAAGCAGATTCTGTACCAAATAAGGGGGATAGCTAATATGATGTCAATTTTTCAAAAGGGCTGTAGAGGTGATCCTGGCAATTTCAGGCTGGTAAACCTGATACTTCAGTACCAAGCAAACTAGTTGAAACTACAATAAAGAACAATATTGTCAGACATAAGATGAACGGGGAGCAGTCAACATGGTTTTTGTAAAGGAAAATCATGCCTCACTAATCTACTAAAATTCTTTGAGGGGCATGTAGAAAAGGGGGAGCCAGTGGATACAGTGTAGTGAGATATTTAGAAAGCCTTTGACAAGGTCCCTTACTAAAGGCTCTAAAGCCAATTTAGCTACCATGGGATAAGAGAAGAGGGACGGTCCTCTCCTGGATTGGTAACTGATTAAAAGATTGGAAACAAAAGGTAAAAAATACATGGTCAGTTTTCAGAACAGAGAGAGATGAATAGTGGTGTTCTACAGAGGTCTGGGACCAATCCTTTTCAACATATTCATAAATGATCTGGAAAAAAGGGTAAACAGAGAGGCGGCAAAATTTGCAGATACAAAGCTACTCAAGATAGTTAAGTCCCAGGCAGACTGAAGAGCTACAAAAGATCTGTCAAAACTGGGTGACTGGCCAACAAAATGGCAGATGAAATTCAATGTTGATAAAGGCAAAGTAATGCACGTAGGAAAACATAATCCAAACTATACATATAAAATCAACGGGTATAAATTAGCTGTTACCACTCAAAAAAGAGATCTTGGCGTCATCATGTATAGCTCTCTGAAAATAACTGACTCCATATTCAGTGTCAGTGAAAATAGGGAACAGAATGTTGGGAACCATTAAGAAAGGGACAGATAATAAGACAGAAAATATACTGCCTTTGTATAAATCCATGGCTCACCCACATCTTGAATACTGCCTACTGATGTGGTATCTGCCATCATAAAAAGAGATTTTGGAATTAGAAAAGGTTCAGATTGAAAAATGATTGAAGTTATAGAATGGCTTCCATATAAGAGATTGACAAAACTGACTTTTCAGCTTGGAAATGAGACAACTTAGAGGTATATGATTGAGTTCTATAAAGTCATTACTATTGTAGACAAAGCAGAAGTGCTATTTACTCCTCCTCATAACACAAGAATCACCAAATGAAATTAATATGCAGTAGGTTTAAACCAAATAAATTATTTCTTCACGGAGCACGGAGTGAACCAATGGAACTATGTTGCAAAGGTTCTTGTGAAGGCCAAGACTATAACAGGGTTAAAAAAAAACTCCAAAAAATAACACCTAGATACATTTATTGAGAATAGGTCAATCAATGGCTTTTAGCCAGGGTGGGCACAGATGGT